TTACAACACTGTTCAGAAAAAAGCATTAGTACATTCTGTTATTAGACTTTGAAGCTGAGTAAGTCTGGTGATAAGGAGATGAGATTGCAAATATTGTGGAAGGTCTTAAGTCATGGTAAGTATTGAATTTCTAATTTTTTGACTGTCCAAAAACTGTACGGTTTTTGAAGTGCCTCAAGACAAGCTTTGATTTATGGTTTTACCAGATTTATCTGTCAGCAGAAGTTGGAAGAGTCAGGAGTCTGGAGGAAGAGGGGATAAATATATTTATAGTTACCTTTGCAAAACTATGACTCACAGTAGTCTGAATGAGAAATAAGAATTTATTTCACTGTCTTTAATGTAATTGGTACTTAATTGATGTTGACAATGCAAGTAATGGAATACATACATGGATCTGAAATGCACTGTCGGTGGTGAATTGATATTACTAAGAGTTGATTTTAAGATTCTTTTGAGAAGTATCCGTGCCCAGAAGAACATTATGTAGGAGTTACAGATAGTGAATACATTTTGTTTGGACATGTGGACATTGGACATGCTTGGTCATATCATGTAGCAATATCCAAAAGATGAGAGCTTCTAGAATATAAGAAAGAAGTTCTTTTTTGAAACAGAACTAAAAAATCATCAGTTTAGAGATAAGATATTTACATTTTAATATAGTAGTTGAAATGATGAAAAATGTTTATTAGAAAACTTGAAATTAGAGAGATAAGAGATTAATCTTTTGAGATATACTTTTTAAAACTTCATTGTTTTAAATGTTTTTTTCTTATAAGGTTAGAGATGATGCTTACTAGTTGGTAATCCTGTATATGTTATACATACAGTGAGAGAGATCAGACTGGCAATTCCAAATTTGAATTTCATTTAGTACAGCACACATTATAATAACCTCCTGATTGTTACTGTTCATAGGTGAGACTATGTCCCAGTTAATGCTCATGGCTTTGCATGATGAATAGTACCAATCTCTACTCCTAACAAAAGTCCTATTGAATGATAACTATATGGTTACTTTTTATAGATTCCCACAGTCTATATGAATTATTTGTTTACATATTGGTTTAAATTTTGGTTAGATAGAGCTGAGATATTTTATTTAGTATGTTTTTATCTCTTTAGGGCCCATCTATATATTAGGTTTTCAATAAATGTTCACACATTTGACTGTAAGTTTTGTTATCTGCAAGAAAAAAGTACTTAATAGATGAAGAATGGTTAACTCACTTAGAAATGAAGGTAATAACCTATTTCACAAGGTAGTTTTTTAATGATAAGGGTATAGCAGTGTGTATCTGAAAGTACTTGGTGTATAAGAGCCCCTAAAAATATTGTTAGCAGGTAAACTAGCTACTTGAGGTGTCAGGATTACTAACTTATGGCAAAACATTTGCAACAAATTGAGTGATTTTTCTTAAAAGTTTTTCGTATTTATTACTGACTAGATCAAAGAGCAGTGAGCAGGGGAGGTAGAGAGGGGAGATACAGAATCTGAGGTAGGCTCCAGGCTTTGAGCTGTCAGCACAGAGCTCAACGCAGGCTTGAACTCACACATAACTGTGAGATCATGACGTGAGCAAAAGTTAGGTTTATCCAACTGAGCCACCCAGGCTTCTTGAGATACTTAGTAATAACTTATTGAATAGTTGCTTGATATTCTTACATTGGTTTATCAATACTAATGCTCAGAGTGGATAGTATTAATATATAAATTGCTCTAAAATCAGCACATTGATAGTATTAAAAGATAATTACTTAAATGGGTGGCTCATCGGGTTCAACTCTTGATTTTGGCTCGAGGTCATGATCGGGCTGGGTGAAGCAGTGAGATACTCCATGTCTGAGTGTGGAGCCTGCTTAAGATCTCCTCTCTCTCTCTCTTCTCTCTCTCTCTTCCTCTCCTCTTCCTCTTCCTGACCTTCTCGCCTGCTCTCTCTGTCTCTCTAAAAAATAAAGAAAATAAAAGAGAAGTACATATATTTTCCTAGCATAATAGTGACTTGACAAAAGCCTCATGACCATTATCTCTTTAATTGTGATTGAATTATTTTTTCTTTTACAAAAGTTTAAAATTAATGGTTTGGTTGAGAAACGGTTATTGTAATAAATAATTGGGAACAATTAGTTTATTTTTGCAAGTGAACTTTATTTGTAAACAGATTGTGTAAATATTTTAAGTGAAATGTTAGCATTTTTGTTCTGATCAGTATTTACTTACTATTTGCTAGGTATTGGGATATAAAGAAATTTTTCAGATGCCATTACTAAACTGACTATAGTGCTTTTGTGTTTTCTCCAGATCCACTATTGCATCCAGCTTAAATCATGTAATTTTCTGTTTAAGATTTTTTTTTTTGCCTTTTTCCTACTATAATATTCATACCTTCCACCCTTTGTGTTCAAAGCAATATACTGTACTATATATTAGCTATCTTTGTGTTCATTCCATAACTGGGATTAATTATTTTGTATTTTATATTAATTTCTTAATCCTTCATGGGATACCTTAATTTTTTTTTTTAATATATGAAATTTATTGTCAAATTGGTTTCCATACAACACCCAGTGCTCATCCCAAAAGATGCCCCTTCAGTACTCCATCACCCACCCTCCCTCCTCCCACCCCATCAACCCTCAGTTTGTTCTCAGTTTAAGAGTCTCTTATACTACCTTAATTTCAGTTTATGTTTAAGAAAACTTGTAAAAAACCAAACTCATACATAAAAAGGATTGGCGGTTGCCAGAGGCTGAGTGAGGGGTGGTTACAATGTGTGAAGGTGGTCACAAGGCAAGCTTGAGTAAAATCAAATAAGTCCTGGGATGGTACAGCATGGTGACCTTAGTTAACACTACCATATTGTATATTTGAAAGTTGCTAAGAGAGTAGATTTTAAAAGTTCTTGCATCACAAGAAAGAAATTCAAATGGGTATGGTGATGGATGTAGGTTTCGATGAGGTGACCATTTTTGAGTTAAATATTAGGTTCATTTGATTTTCAATATAAGAGAATTATTCGTTCAATTAGGACCCTATACCCAGTGACATCCCGCAAAAGGATGCCCATTAACTCCATCTTACCAGGTTCTCTCTTCATCTATCAACCTTCCTTCAGTTTGCGCTTTAGATGAGTCTCTATGCTTTGAGCTCTCCTCTACCTCTTTCTTTATTTTTTTTTTTCTTCCTCCTCCCATGGACTCTCTGTTAGTTTCAGGATCCACATAAGAGTGAGAATATGGTATCTGTTGTTCTCTGTATTTTATTTCCACTTAGCATCACACTCTCCAGTTCCATCCTCATCGCTGCTCCAAAGGGCCGTCATATTCTTCTTTCTCATTGCCGCTGTAGTACTCCATTGTGTATATAAACCACAAATTCTTTATCATGCTCAGTTGATGGACAAGGCTCTTTCCATAATTGCTATTGTCTGAGAGTGACAGTTATAAACATTAAGGAAGGTGCCCCTATGCATCAGTACTCCTGTATCCCTTGGGTAAATTCCTAGCAGTGCTAATAATAACTAAATTTAAATGAAATTCCTCATTGGTGCTTTCTAAGCTGTTTGTGAGACCTTCCACCCTGTTGCTGCTCTTCATTGAGCTTCTGCTAAGCCTGCTAGCCTGTGCATCACGGTTATATGTACGATACTAGCCTGTGCCTCACAGTTATACATACGATACCATTACAGCCGATCTGTACACACTTCTGATTTTATAGATGAGAAGAAAATTGAGGCTCAGAGTTTGCCCAAGATTAAATTCACATGACTAATTAAGTGACTTACTTTGGATGTAGACATAGGGATTTCTGGTCAACAGTCTATTTTGTCACAAACCCACTTTCCTTGAAATAGAGTGATCTTTATGGGGAGACACAAATCCATAGTCCTTATTTGCTAAAGTGAATTCCTTATTTATTTTCAACTTTTCGATCACAGTTGTGTCTCTTCCTCTGTGTTCTTTGTTTGGATGACAGCAGTCTTCTGCTCAACTTCCCAAGTTGGGATTTTTCCTTGAAACCTTTTGTATCTCCTGTTTTTTTAGTTGATGTCAAGCCTTGAAAATTCTGCTTTTGAAATGGCTTTCAAATCCTTGCTTCTTAGTTTAGTATTTGATTCAGATCCTCATGATTTCCTCTGTGTATTATTATCGTCAATTAACCAGGTTTCCCTGTGTGTTTTCTCTAATCTCATCCATCTCTAGACTTTTTTTTTTTTTTTTTTTTTTTTTTTTTTTTTTTTTTTTAAAGAATCTTTACCTTTGTGTACTGGAGCCTTTGAAAGCGTGGTGAAAATTAAGGATTATCTTTCTAGAAAAATGTACATACTTTACATATAACTTCTGCATATTGTCTCAGTGCAGGGAGGTTTACAAGGTTTACGAGGCCTCTTCAAGTCCATCTGTTGATATCTGCCCATCCTACTTAGACCCCTTCTTCTAAAATACAGATCCACTTATGTAACCTCTCCACACTTAACACTCCCAACTACTTGTAACTAATTGTAACCAGATGCCTTATAAACTTCAAAAATGCTTTGGTCTCTGACCAGAATTTTTTCCAAGTCTTCTGTGCACCTTATTCTTTAACCATAAACCAGATTATAAATCATTCTTGGGAATATATTTGAACTTGCATGAATTCATGCCTCTCTTCACAGAATGTCTCTACCAGAATATGAAATCGTCTTGAAAAGGGACAGTTTTCATTTGTCATTGTGTTCCCCATCAGTGGCTAGCACAGTGCCTGGTACAAAGAAGATGCTCATTAAATGTTTTTGAAATGAAAGATTACATGATCTCTTCCCTATTTTCCCCAAACTGCTTCAACAGAATTAAAATACACCCTCACTCCCTCTCCCCGCAAATGTTTTGGTTATTTAACTTTTTTAGAAGTTGAGTTGTTTTTATAGTATTATATGAGACTCTTAACCATGTAACTTAACTCATTAATTAAATACCTAAATAATAAATGGTGAATAATGTGTATATATTTTTAGGCAATCGTCTTTTAACTGGTTCTAGCTGTTTGCAACTGTGGTCCAATGCTAACTTGGAGAAGCCAACTGAAGATGAAAATCCAGATAAAACAGATCTTAATTTGGGGGACTGGAGATGCATTTGGCATTGCAAGTAAGCAATTAATTAGGGGATTAAAGTGATAAATCTGTTCATGTGGGTTTTGTTACAAATGCATTTTAGTTTCTGTGAAACTACACAACATTAAAAGTATTGATTTTTTATTCTGCAACAGGTCTTTTCATAAATACAGAGGATTCACTATTTCCCATAGTGAATCTATAGATCCAGTTTTTTTTTTTAAATTATTGAATAAAACACCTATGGAGAAACATAGAAAATGTGTTAAGCCTGTATGATGATCATTAAATAGAAACTTGCTAAATTCTACCAAAGGAGACAGAGACGCTTTCCATGCTTTTGACTGGAAGTTTTCCTGTTGTGAAGAAGTATGTTTTTCCCAAGTTGCTTTATGTATTGAATATAATCCTTGTCAAAATCCCATTGGAATTTCTACTTTTGAGCATAGTTCTAAACTTGTTTTAACAGGTTAAATATGGGAAAATCGAAAATTCTGTAAGAAGTAAAATAGTGAAGATAGCATAGAAAAATGAATTCTAAAGCTAGAGCTGGTCTAGCAGTTTGTTGTTGATGTAGGAACAGATTAGGGTCCAGAATTAGGCCCAATTACACATGGAGATTCAGTATATTAGGTGACATTTTATATCAGTGCGTAAACTTGATAACTCTGTGGAGAAGAAAATGAAATTAGAGTATGTTTCATGCCTCACACCACAATAAGTGTCAAAAGAGGGAAACCTTGAATTTCTACACAATGAACTAAATACTAGAAGAAAATACAGGAGAATTTTTTTATTTTAGAATTACAGTGTCCATTATGGTAGCAGCTAGTGATATACCACTTTTGAGCACTCGAAATGTGGCTAGTCTGAATTGACTGTGCTGTAAGTATAAAATACACGCTGGATTTCAAGAACTTAGCACAAAGGAAAAAAATGTAAAATATCCAGTTAATTTTTTTTATTGATTACATGTTGAAATGATAGTAGTTTTAATATATTAAATAAAATAATTTCACCTGTTTCTTACTACTTTTTAAAATGTGGCTACTAGGAAATTTAACATTTGTTATTTATGTTCTGTCACTGTTGCAGGATAAATGCTGCTTTAGATGAGGGAAAGACTTTCTAGGTATAATACCAGAACTAGAAACTGAAAGGAAAGGAAAGGAAAACATCAATATTTGTTGACCATATCAATAACAAAATTCTATAAAGCAAACAGACCACACGGAATATAAAAAGTTGAGGAAAGTATTTGCAATTTGGAGTTAATGCTTTTTTTAAAAAGAGGTCTTAAAAATTAATATCTCTGTAGTTAACAAAAATAGACAAGTGAAAAATTTTAAATGGTAGTACATATGAATAATAAGCAAATTAAGTAAGAGTTGATGGACTGCAAAATCTAGAAATGAGAAATATCCAGAAAGAAGAGGATGAATAATATCTACTATTAGTGAGTGTTTGGAGAACAGGTACTCTTAAATCCTCTTTAAGGGAGTGCACTGGTATTTTTCTAAAGAGCAATTTGGAAGTATGAATCAACAGGCTTAATTTTTATACCCTGAGATAGTAACTCCACATTTCATTCATTCATGCAGCAATTATTTGCTGAGTGTTTATCATGTTTGAGGCAGTGGTAGAAGTGCTTGGAATATAGATAGCAGTGACCAGGTAGGGACTGAGACTACCAACCAGTAAACCAGTATGACAGAATGTTAAGTGGCATTCTTCCTGAGTCCGTTTTATATGAAACAGGGAAAGAACTATATGAGATACCAAATAGAGAGTAAGGCAGACCTGGTATATAGAGTTTAGAAAGATTTCAGGAGAGTTGGTTCCATATATTTTGTACCCTTCGGCTAGATTGTGAGTTTTAAAAAGGCTTAACATGGAGAGGGAGTAGGACTTTGCAAAGAAAATTCTTTAGAGACAGTTGTCTTTGCTCTGGAGTCTTCCATGTAAAGTTGGGGAGAGGGGAGCAGCAAAGTGTTTTATTGCCTTCTCAGGGCTTCCATGGGTTGAACTGAGAATTTGAAATGTGTTTTGTGCTTCTGGTAGAGGGGAAGAATCTTAAGTTAATTCAAGATTAGAGTCTACGGTGATAACTTGGACTAGACATACTATGTATTTGGGATGGTTATTTAATTAAGCAGAAAAGCCATGGGACTCAGGTTTCAATTTAGGAGCAGCTGATGATTACACTGACTGGAACACATTTAAACATTGAGCTTGATCACATTCCTTTTGTGATGTGTTTAAAACCCGTTATACACGTTAGATGAAGATCAGTAGTATGATAGAGAAAACTAAGGTAAAAGGAAGAAGAGTAGAGGTGACTTTTGAGCGTAGACCTGAAGGAAATGAGGGAGCAAGGTGTGTGGGGATATCTCTGGGAGAAGAATCTTGGAGGCAGAGTGAACATTCACTGCAGACTTTGGTAGAAGTGTGCTTAGCTTGTGGCTGGAATAAAGTGAACAAGGTCAGGGAGTTTGCTTAGAGGTTATTGTGAGGGTTTGCCTTTTGTGCTGAGTTGGGAAGCTCTTGAGAATTTTGAGCAGAGGGAGCATTGAGAACTGATTCCTTTTTAAAAGGGACTGCCTTAGCTTTTTTGAGAAGACCTGGACAGAGGTCACACTCCTTGAGATGATTGCGATGGAGATCAGGCACTTTTAATGATTTGTTTTAAGAATATCTTTAGAATTAGCCAGATCCATAGAAATGTGTATACAAGGATGTTCATTGCACCACTTATTTTGTAGCAGCAGAAATGAGAAAACGGTGGTGAAAAATTATTTTAAGGCAGTGCATATATACGTAATAGAATAACATAGCCAGTAAAATAATGCAGATCTATACACATTGATATGCAAACGTGTTCTTTACATACTTTAAAATAGATGAATGTTACAAAGCAAATTGTAATGTAATATGACCTCACTCTCCATCCTCTCCTCCCCTATATCCTCCCAAAGAAAGTAGACAGAGGAGGAGGGTGGAGAGATGGGTCTAGAAGTCTGTGCATTAGAATGTTAGCAGTGGTTTTGCCTGGGAATGGGTGTCGTGGCGAAACTGTAGATGATTTCATTTTCTTCTTTTCATATATATGTAGCAATACTTTCTGTTACGTAGCTGTTACATTTAAGATTAAGAAAAAAGTTACTTTAATTTGGAAGGAAGTGTGACGGAATTCCTCTTTGGCCTGTTTTACAAATAAATTTGAGGTGAATCTAAGCACAAAATTGGGTAAAGAAAAGGAAGGCAATGACAGTGAGGGTTGTCTTGAGATCAGCATAAGTGCGTAGCCAGAAGGGAAGGCAATGACGTGAAATGAGCCAAAGTTCATCAGAGAAGAAAAGGCAAGTGTGCACCAAGTGCATAGGCGAAGCTGGCAGGCTTCCCTCATGTGTGCAAGTCCCCCAGTAACCCACACGTAATCTTCAATGAGGTAAATGCCACCTTAAGGGAGATTTCATTTCAAAATACTGATTTATTGTCCATTAAAATACATGATAGAACATGAGAAAGAGAAATTGAAATTTTTCAATTTGGAAATCTAATTTCCGGGGCCATTAGGTATCTATATTCCAAGACAATGAGAGCTATGATTGTTTTGTCTTAAGCTTTAAAGACTGAGAAATCTTTCCTTTAATGATTCGTACACATAGATATTTTCACGTAAAAATAATTTTTATACTTAATTTAAAAATTTATATTTTGTATTCATTTTATATTTATGAGATGTACTTAAAATTGAGTGTAAAACTTGTGTTATCAGAAAATTTTCCATTATTTAAAGCAAGTTCCTGAATATTGTTTAGAGAAGTAATACAGAATTCTAATTTTCCTTAAAAATTATTTCTTCTCTTTAATTTACAGAACTGCTTCCCAAATTCATTTAATGAAATTTTCACCAGATGGAGAATTTTTTGCCACTGCTGGGAAGGTAATCTTGTGAAATTGCTATTGCTGTTGGTTTATTTTGGAACTTCAAAAACCTTAACTGGCTTTATTCTTTTATTTAAGTTGAAAATATTTTCTATTAAAAATATATTCTAGGGGCGCCTGGGTGGCTCAGTCGGTTAAGCCTCCAACTTCGACTCAGGTCACGATCTCGCGGTCCGTGAGTTCGAGCCCCACGTCAGGCTCTGGGCTGATGGCCTGGAGCCTGTTTCCGATTCTGTGTCTCCCTTTCTCTCTGCCCCTCCCCCGTTCATGCTCTGTCTCTCTCTGTCTCAAAAATAAATAAACGTTAAAAAAAAAATTCTAATAAAAACATTTAAAATATAGTGAAAACGGGCTATTATTGTTCTAAAAGATAGTATGGTATAATTGAAACATAGACTTAAAGATCTGAATGTAAATCTGCCATTTACCAACTTTTTGATTTGGGGCAAGTAATTAATTTTTTTGGGCAAATATAAGGATATACCGACTTTCTAAGAGGACATTTGTAACCATTTTTATATTTTGCCATGCTGATGTCCCAGCAGTATATTTTTCCTTGGAATTATTTTATTTGTAATCATTGGATCTCCAAACAGTTCATATACACATAATTGTCTGAAATTAATTGTTCTCATGGTTCAAACCTTTCTGTAGACCCAAGATGTGAGCTACCCTAAATCTTCAGTGAGGTTTTTTTAGGAGAGAAATGGAGTTTGTTCTGATGGACTTTACCAGTGGAAGTGCAATTATAGTTTAAAAGCAGAACCTGGTACGTTGTAGTGCCCTTGTTTTATCCATGCTTCCCAAATTAGCAGATGCGATTTTAATTGTACTTAGAATATTTTGGGGCGCCTGGGTGGCTCAGTTAGTTAAGTGACCAACTATTGATTTTGGCTCAGGTCGTGATCTCGCAGTTCAGTTTGTGAGATGGGGCCCTGTGTCTTCACTGACGTTGTGGAGCCTGCTGGGAATTCTCCATCTCCTTCCCTCCCAGCCCCTCCCCTGGTTACATTCTAGCTCTCTGGCTGTCTCTCAACATAAATAAACTTGGAATATCTTATATAGTGGTAGCTATTAACTCATCATTACTATCTTCATCGTTTTCTTTGAACGTTCACATGATGCTTCATGAAAACTTTTGTTTAAAAAAATTGGCAGTCCTCGTAAGCCTGCTAGTGGTAATTCTTTCTTATTTGATATTTGTCTAAGTGGGAAAATAAACCCTTAATCCGTGAATCTTTTCTCAGTGATTCCTGTATGGTAACTAGCATTTTCCTTGATCCATTCCTTGCAAAATATACACATTTATACCTTAATTCTCAGAGCACGATTATGGAATGCTAATAGAAAAGTTTCAATCAGAGGTTTTCTTCTCACTTCCTCTGTGCCAACTACACCTCACACCCCTAAATTCCTGTAAGTGGGGAGAAGGTTCTTACTTTTGCTGTTTGACTTAACCTTTAAATTAATTCTGATGTGAATGTTTTTCTATTTTTGTTTTTGTTTTTTTTCATTAGGATGACTGTCTTTTAAAGGTATGGTATAATGTAGAAAACTGGCGGACAGCTGTTACCTCTCCGGATAAAAGTTCAGAAAAACAATCCCAAGGAGAAATGGACTTTTCCTTTATATATCTGGCCCATCCTCGAGCTGTAAATGGATTTTCCTGGCGTAAAACAAGCAAATATATGCCTAGGTCAGCGATTTAGTCATTTTATCTATGTATTAAGAGAACATCATCTTTGTGACATTGAGTGCTCTTCTCGCTTTAAGAATCCACAGCTATAGGACTTTGGCCTATGAAGATTTTAGTAATATCAGATAATCCTTGGCCTGCAGATGTCTGGCCATGGGTCAGCTATGACTGACACATCACAGGAGAGCCATGGGAAAGGATAATTTATCTCCATCTCACATGTCTATAAGTGACAGAATTGTATGTCTTTTTTTCTCTTTGTTAAGTATCCAGTTCTTTTGTGTCTTAGTCCTTCTCTATATTGCCATTTACATGGACCTTTCCACGTTTCAGTCCCTAATCTTGTTCCTTCTCTGTGTATCTCCTCTGGTTTCCCTTTTTTTTTAAGCTGCTTTATTGAGAGGCTATAACACGAGGCCTCAAACATTTCTTTAACTGTATCTAACATCTTTATGGAAAAGAGAGTGGGTTAAAAGATTACTATTCTCTGAATTAGGTATTAGTTTAATCTATGCAGTCATGCACAAGTACACCTGTTAATAACTTCTTTTCTTTCCTTTATTCTTGCAAGACTGGATAACCCATTGAGCTTTTGCCTGTATTTAGTAAGGTACAGAGACCTATTACTTAAGTATAAGTAGAAATCCCTTTTTGTTTGATGGCCATTTTCAATTTGGTTACACCATGGAACAATACAGTTTTTCCCTTAACCTTTTGTCACTGATCCGTGGGAGGGTACCTGGATCATTTGTTGACTTTAGTTTTGCTCTTCTGAGCCAGCAGAGTATATCCAGATTTTTTTTTTTTTCAAAAATGTATATTAAGACTGATTTAAAAAAATTTTTTTTTTTTCAACGTTTATTTATTTTTGGGACAGAGAGAGACAGAGCATGAACGGGGGAGGGGCAGAGAGAGAGGGAGACACAGAATCGGAAACAGGCTCCAGGCTCTGAGCCATCAGCCCAGAGCCCGACGCGGGGCTCAAACTCACGGACCGCGAGATCGTGACCTGGCTGAAGTCGGACGCCAACCGACTGCGCCACCCAGGCGCCCCTAAGACTGATTTTTAAAGAGTAGTTTAAGATTCATAGCAAAATTGAGTGGCAGGTAAACAAATGTCCCATCTATCCCTTGCACCCACACATGCATAGCCTCCCCTATTATCAGCCTCCCACACCAGAGTGTATATTTATTATAACTGATGAACCTACCTCAACACATTGTTCCTTAAAGTCCATCGTTGAGAGTATGGTTCAGTTCCGGTGTTGTGCACTGTATGGATTTGGACAAATGTATGATGACGTGTTTCCATCATTGTTATACCTGATCTTTTGAGCTCTTTTCTAGTACAGTAGTTACCATTTTTCCTACCCCAGCCATCCAGGCTAACCAAGCATAGGAGTAGGACACTGTAGGACCAGTAGTGTCAGGAGGATGTGGCAGAGTGTGCTAAGGGAGAGAGTGGTGTGGACAGTCTGTACTGTTGGCAAAAGAGCTCACTCCAGCTTCACTTGGTGAACTGTTGCTCTCCAGTACCTCTGAGACCATTGCCCACATATACAAAAATGTGTTCAGAATGTAATGAGCTGTGGTATGTGTTAATTCTCCTTTTAAAATTTGCAAATGGGGGCGCCTGGGTGGCTCAGTCGGCCGACTTCGGCTCAGGTCATGATCTCGCGGTCCGTGAGTTCAAGCCCCACATTGGGCTCTGTGCTGACAGCTCAGAGCCTGGAGCCTGTTTCAGATTCTGTGTCTCCCTCTCTCTGACCCTCCCCCATTCATGCTCTGTCTCTCTCTGTCTCAAAAATAAATAAATGTTAAAATAAATAAATAAATAAATAATAAAATTTGCAAATGGGCACAATAAAAATAGCTGTCATTGCAAACCATAAAGATTACATCATTTTGGAGGCTGATTTCTTCTGATACATCCAAGTGTTCTCATTTGCACATGGTGAGACTACCAGAATACTGAAAAAGAGGGTTATGAAGTATTTATCTTTTGAGAGAGGACAGTCATATCTGTACCTGACCTAATTCACTTGGTGTTGGTAAAAGGGATCGTGGTGGAGGCAGAGGCAGGTGCCTTGCACTGGGCTGTCACGAATGCCTAGTAACACCAGTGAGGCATAGCAATTTCTCCTTCTGCTTGTGTTCGTTTTATCTCTTAGCAACTACATTGTGCAGGAACTGTGGCATAGGACTAGAATTTCTGTTTGTTACAGTATCTTTTAGACGTCTCAAGAATTTTTCTTTTGGTCCATGTCATTTACGAACCAGCTAATCTCCCTGAGCTCTTTTAGGTTTCATTTTTGTTTTACCAGCTGCCTGCAGGTATGTGGTAGGAAGGCTGACCCCTTCTGAGAATGACAGAGATCCCATTATCAACTAAACCATTGCTCTTTCTGATATGGCATCTTCACTGAGCTATACAGGTGCTTTGTTTTTCACGTAAAATTCAGATATTCAGCCAAATGGTAATACTTTATGCAAGGGTACTGCTGGCTTGAGAGAAAAGAATGGGAAAGTGTTTGTAATGAGCATATACTTCTTCACTAAACACTGATGAATGTAGGATAAGTGGAAGGTTTGTTGTATACCCTTCTCTAGATAACTAGTTGCAAAAACAACAATTGGCCTGTTGTTACATGAAGATGGGACACACTGTCTTGTTGTAGCTGTCACAGGTGTCATAGATACTTACCTATCACATGCTTGCCTTCCATGTGGTTATACCTTTTACTGAGGAGTGGTGGTTATACCTGAATATGAGCAAATGAGCTACCCTGATACAAAGTGAGGAAAGGACATATTGCTAGCGAAATGCCTCACACAGAGCAGGGCATTTCTTCCATTCTCTTAGATTACCTGTCACCTCTTTATACTGATTGTCTGTAAGGTCTAGTATCTTGAGGAGAGTCACCTGGGGCCACCACACTCCTAGGTCAAAGGCCTCTCTATGCTTTTGAGTTGTGTATCTTGCTTGTTTTGTTGCTTTTGCCTAAGTTCTTAATGCCTCTTCTGATTGTTCTCTATTCAGCCCTTCAGTCTACTACTTTCTCCTCTTCCTTTATAAGCCTGTGCATTCTGCCAGTTACAGATGGGCTCTGTGAACCTTTAACTTTTCCTATTGCCTTTTGGTGTATTTTCTTCTGTTCTGATTGCGCTTTTAATCTCATTGTCACCACCTTTGTGGATGCGAATGAACAAGAGAGAAATGCTGAGAAGGAAAGAGGATAGATCAGAGGAGGATGGAGAAAAAATGGAAAAGGAAGGAGAGGCATGAGGAAGGAGAAAGGAGTAGGAAAACAGAATTCAGAAAGGAAAGAAGGAGGTGCCCTAGCAAGTGGGGACAGGTGGAAAGAGAGAATGGCCTAGCAAGGCTGAGAAGCAGAGAATTGGTGGGAGAAGGCAGAGGGAGGGAGGCCCAAGAGTGGATGGAAAGGGGAGAAAGGCAGAGGAGTAGACAGAGAAGCGGGTGGGGAAGGGAGAGGTGAGAAAAGAGAGGGAAGCTGAAGGGGAGAGCAACCCAGACAATACACAGTTTTCCTTTTTCTTCCCCTTTATAGTTGTTCTTTTTTTTAATCAAGCAGATAACGTTTAATTAAGTGACTACTACACAAAATTTTGATTTCCTTTTTATTTTTCTTTAACTTCCTGAGTTATTTGATAGAAGTCTTGTACTGATTGTTCTTTTTAATTCTGATATGTTTGAGTATGTGTCTACTACAAGCAAGATATTGTGACTTTTTCTTTCTTACTTTCCTTTTTTTTTTTTTTTTTTTTTTTTTTTTTTGCAGGAGTTCCTCAATAGAATGTAGTCTTTGTTGATATGAGTTCAGCCTTTGAACTCCTCATGCTTATGGGGTTTATTAATATATATGTAATTGATTTTGCTTTTGTGAGTGGAGAGATAGTAAATTCACTGACAGTCAAGAATAAGGAAGGAGGTGGCTATTAATTATTTTATCATGATTTTTCTTCTCTTGTGCTTCACTGCTTTTGGAATATGTTAAGCATGGAGAAAAATGAGTATACTAAATAGTGTAGCTTGTTAGTGACCAGTGTGCATGAGTCTTCACAGAAAGCAAAAATAAAGCATTATGAAAGAATTCAAATGGTAACCATTCAATGGATAAATCAGAAAATTTTTAAAGAAAATGTGTTTTTCCTTGCTTATTGACTGAGGGATTATGGCATTATCTCAGCCTTTGTTCTTTGGATGTAAGTGAATTTTAGATTCTTAAAACAAGAAGTACCACATTCTAAGCAGAAAAGAAATAGGTTAGCAGGCATTTGCTGTGATGAGATCAAATACCCACTCAGTTTTAATGGTTTTGACTAAATATATTGCATAAATGTATATTGACATTTCTTCATTGGTACTCCAATTGTGTGCATTTAAATAATTACAGAAACACTGTAGAATATTATACCGTACGAAATTTATATGTTTGCCTCTAAAATCTTTTTATTCCTCAGGGCTTCTGTATGTAACGTGTTGTTGACTTGCTGCAAAGATAATGTATGTCGTCTTTGGGTAGAGACCTTTTTACCAAATGATTGTTTGCTCTATGGAGGTGACTGCAGCCATTGGACCGAACCAATTAATTTAACAAATAACTTCAAAAGAAATGCTTCTAGTAAAGAACGAATTCAAAATGCTTCAGATGTAAGTGTTTTTATTAGATGTTATTTCCTACAAGTTTTAAAACCCCTTGTACATTGCCTTTTTTGTAACATTCATCCTAGTTAATATTCAAAGTCATATGGTTAGGTATGAAGACATATATGTATATTAGGAAAATGATTCTCAGAAAACTTTATAATTTGTTTCGTTCAAAAAATATTCTTAAGGGGGCGCCTAAATGGCTCAGTCAGTTAAGCATCTGACTCTTGATTTCTGCTCAGGTCCTGAGCTTGCGGTGTGTGGGATCAAGCCCCACATTGGGCTCTGCACTGACAGTGGGGAGC